TTGGGCTGCTTCAGCTCACATTTGTTTATCCTTCATTGAATTACACTGGCGGAGCGGGAGCAGGGTAGTGGGTCGAGTGCCTCGAGCGGTACCCAAAAAGAAAACCAAAAATACGCCTGACTGTGGCATGTGCCACACATGTGGCACACACAGCCTGGTCAGAGGGTTCCGACTGCTGGCATTGTTGGCCAGTTGCCGCAGGTATTACGCGTGTGCGGCTCACTCTGGGGCTGTGTATTCAAATACAATATTTTATAACTGAAACTTGAAGTTTCATTTACATTCACATGAACTTATTAAATATGAGGCACTATACCAGAAATCTTACACGAAACATCTGGGAGACTGCTCAGCCTGGACTTACGCACTCATCGAAGGCTCAACTCAATAGGTGCACAGGGAATCTCTTTCATTTTCTGCTCTTTCCTGCTCTCATAGCTTCCGCATTCTCTAATTGTCTGGCCTTCCCGTCCAGTCTAGTCGTGGGCCGTCTTGCTGATTCAGCCTTGTTCCTCATGCATATTCTGACTGTGTCTGTGCCTTTTTGCCTCTCCGTTTTCAATCAAACTATTCTTGGATCAACTTTTTTCGATTTTTTTACACCCGGTTCTATTACACCTTTGACAGTTCCTTTGTAGAATTATCCCTGCCAACGCATTTTACTCGCCCTAATATGCGACACTTCCTTATTTCAATCACGGTGCTTGGCACCTCCCCATTCTAGGTCTCTTGTTGCCCATCCGTGTTTAGTGGCTCTTTTGCTGCTACCCTCCATTTGCCTACGTCAGTGTGCATTTCCTTTACGACATTTCCATTTAACGCTCTTTGAGCCGGAGGAAAAAAAAGTGAACAGAACTGAAAATAATGTGAGGTAGTCGCATCGTTTTGCAGTTCCCTCTTGGTTGTAAGCATTAACAAGCTTTCCTCTCTGTCTATCCCCCTATCGCTCTCTCTCTCTCTCTCTCTCCCTCTCTCTGCTTTTTCTTGCTGCTCTTCACTTTGCTCGGCTCGCAAATCCTTTTTTGAAAAAGGCTTAATGTCTGATTTGGCTGCACGGTAATCCGCTTTCAACTAGCTACACTCTCTGTCTCTATAAATATGTACATAAATATATGTATATTAGTATATATGTATCCCAAATGTATATATGCTTATTGGACCACCCCTGCCACCCCTTTAAGGCACCTCTCTGATTGACAGACAATGTCGCCCTGCTGCCTCAAACTGAGTATTTAAGTCGACGTCTTTATGAAATAGAGCTTGTCAAACTTTAATAAGCCAAGTTTGATTGAACCGTGTGTCATGAGAGAATATTTAACAGCTGTGCTGCTCTGTCCCTAGAATGTGCATGCAATATTAAGCTGCTGTTACCATAATCAGCTGCTAATGGACAATGCCATCAATTAATTTAATTAATAAATGAATTGATTAACCTTTTTTAATTGACATGAATACGATATTCTCATTTAAATTTGTGTGTGTACGAATCAAAGCTACAATAACATGTGCTTAACATATGTTAACTTGTACAGCAGCAACTTAACATTTAGTGTGATACTTATGCTTGAAATCTAATTTAGTCAGGTGCTCATATTTCAGGGAGGACTAGATTACCACAGATTGACTTTGATAATATATCTGTTTCGGCTGGTCTCTTAGCTCTCAAAAGTGACTAAAAATCTCTACATACCAAATCATATATACATATATTAGTATGTTACCTCTAACAAATCTACAGTTCTCAAATGGGGAACTTCCTTTGCCAAAAGGAATTCAACTATTTATGTAGTCAATTATTAATCCCGAGAGAAATGCTAAATCTTATTCAAGCTGAACTCCTTCCGACTCACTACGGCGGTCCATTCGGGTCACTCACTGAGTGTGACTCGTATTACTTCTTCTAGACATTAGCCTGACTGACTTGAACGGATCTCATTGCCTCGTTTAGCGCTCGCCAGCATATTGTATATTTTATTCTTTCCCCCCCTCTAATTATTTGCAGCCGTTGGGAGCTACAACGTGTCCTAAACTGTTCCATCGCTTGGACAGGCGGTCATTCCGCAGACAATGACAACAACAACAGCAATAGCAACACTAATTGCAACAACAACTGTTGGAGCAATGGCTAACTGTACAAATGCCAGCTGTTTGGCTCTGTGGTTTTGCGGTAGCTCGCCAGAGTTGGCTTTTGGGTGGTTGTGTCAGGAATTCGTTTGTTAATTATCTGCTCATGTTATTGTCTTGTGGCTGCACCACGCTACGCTGCGCCATGTCACGCCATGGCACGCCGATCAGAGCAGCATCCCGTAACTCCCACACACACACACACACACACACACACACACACAGACACAGTTACCTTTCACTTGGGGAATTCATTTACATGTGTCAACCCACGCTGGCATTTCCGTCGTAATTGCCTTGCGTAATTTCTTCCTTTCATAGCTACACTGATAGTTCTCCATTTGCGATCGCCTCTCTACGGCTCTTATTTATAATTGAAATAATTTTGAGCTTTGCAGCATCAGACCTTCATCTATATTTATAAATTTTCTACAATTATTTTGAATTTGACATGATTCTTCAATTACTCTCTTTGAATGCTTATATATTTATTCAGTCCTCTTCCATTTTTGAGTATTCTCATCTGTATTTGACTTCCACTGCAATTCATTCTTCATCGATTTCCCCATTTTCATATCTATATCTCTCTTCTCCTCCCATCTCTCTCTTTCTTTTTCTACAATTATTTAAAATTTATTTATTTATTCTTCTTCGATTTCTCTCTTCTCATATCTATTTCACTTTCTCTAAAATTATTTTGAGTTTCATTGATTCATTCTTCATCGATTTTCCCATTTCCATATCTATTTCTATTCCTCTATGATTAATCAGAATTCAAATCTTATTCTTGTTCAATTTCTCTGTACAATTCTTTTGAATTTCATGGATTCATTCTTCTTCGATTTCGCCCTTCTAATATCTATTTATATTCTTCTACGATTCTTCACATCTCTATCCCTATTCTTCTACAATTCTTTTAAATTTCATGGATTCATTCTTCTTTGATTTCTCTCTTCCCTTTTCTTTTCATATTCCTTTACAATTATTTACAATTTTATTGATTCATTCTCTTTACATTTTTCTATTCCCTTCTTCTATCTATATTTTTCTTGGATTATTTTGACTCTCTCTTCCTCAATTTCTCTCTTCCCGTCTGTATTTATATTTTTCTGCAATTATTTTGAATTTCATTGCCTTTTCCATCTGAACTAGTTTGAAAACATATTCCCATTTATGTGCATATGTCGATATTTAGATATTTTTCTTGAATTCCTTTCATTTCACAAATCCTTGCCTCCTCTCCTCCTTCTCTTTGCTCTGCGTATTCTTTTTTGTTTGTTTTTCTGTAATGCGCATTTAACGATTTTTATTTCATTAATTTCTATTCATTGGGCTAATGCTGTTTCTATCTACCTGCTGCAGTACCCATCCATTCTACCTGTTCGTAATCCACTTTTTATTCGCGTTTTCCATTTCCAGTCTGGGCATTCAGTTCCCATTTCGCTGTCAGCTGGTCAACAGGTTGGTGCCGCCCATTTAATCAGCCTTGGGGTTATGCCAGCTCGCAATTGAAGTGCCTGTGCTTCCCCGTGTGTGTGTGTGTGTGTGTGTGGGTGAGTGGGTGGCTGTTTGGTGACACGTCTATTTATAGAATTAAAGGGCAGCATGCGTATCTCCCCTTCTGTGCGAGGTGTCCGACGGCAGCTGTGGCTGCGAGCATTGACAACTTAACGGAAAATCATTTTAAATGCTGTTGGCATTTGTGCCGCCTCCACTCGTAACCCTTAACCCCACAACCCCACAACCACACAACCCCACAGCTCCACAGTCCTACTACCCCAGTCCCAATCAACAACCACAGAAGTTTTGTGCGCTCTCGACCACAAATGAAATTTCAGTATCTGTTTGCAGCAGATAGTGGACGTAGTGTTAAAAATTCACCTGCATTTACAGGATGGCAAATGCGATGCAAACCACAGGTTCGAGAAGTGGGCCGAACTCTGCTGTGGCTGCGGCACAAGTGGACAAGTGGGCAAGTGGGCAAATATTCCAAGTGAGTTAGTCTGTCGCAGCTGGACTAAACTAAATGAGACCACATGAGGTTTATAGTTGGCTAAAACCGAATAAATTAGTATTGAGTATAGACAGAGATGGAGTGATTGACGGCTTAAGCTCGCTAATTAACATGGCCTTCAGCTACTGTAATATATCAAGTCGTATACCCCCACCTCTAATAGATTCTACAATTATTATTCATTCAAATATGCTCATTAAGTGTTGTTCTATCGATAATTCATTGACAGTAGCATATTGGGCATATAAAAAATTACATTAGCAATCGATAGTATACTATCGATTACACGCAAGGAGTCTACCGATATTTGTAACATTTGATCATACTGTTAGTGGTAAACTAACATAGATAGCAGACGATAACATAAGTTGATATCAATATTGATCGATATCGTGGGCAACCCATGCCATGATTGTTGTTAGCATTATAGTTAAATGATTAACTAACGTCTATTTAACTTTGATATCCGATAGCTGTCAAATCGATAGTGTTGCTGTAATTCTAACGGACAGCAATTCTAAGCAGAGTCTGATGCTATCGATACCATATATAACAGATGCCTTGTTTGCTGACTGAACCTCTGATATCTGAACACGTTATCTTGTTAAGAGTCTCACACTGAATTCTTATCACTATTGCCGTAGTGATGTCGATTTCGATATCCGATAGTCCAAAGCTAGCTATTCTTAAAGTTTTACTTTCTTACAGTAACAATAACAATAATATCGATATATCGAGCTAGCAATTAAATTCTTCTCTAATAGAATATTTGAATTTAAGAACACTTCGTGTCCGATAATTTGAAAAGCGATATTTTTACAATGTAATTCTCTTATCGAAATGTTTCATTTGTTCTACTTACGCTGCGAATTGGAGCGCCGTATTATGTTCTCAAGGAATGTGTTCTGCGGCGCAACCAGTCCACGTCGTCCGCCAGGCATTTTGGTGCCTAATCGTTACGCCGCGTCGCCGCCCTTCGATGCCCCTTAGCTGGCACCTGAAGTCCTCGTCAAACAGCTGCGCCTGCGCCCGCTCCGACAACGGCAACTGCAATTGGACTGTGGATGGATGGATGTGGCTGCCTGTTTGCGTTTAGTTCACGTCTCGACTCGCTCTTGTGCTCTCGCTCTCTCTGTCGCTGTCTCTTTCTGTGTGCTTTGCCCGCTCGATCGTTGGGCATTCGCTTAGAGCTGCAACGCGTCAACGGCGACGGCGATGGCGACTGCGACGTTGCTGTGCAGCGCTGCACTTTGGTTGCGCTGACCGCCCGCCATTTTGTTCAGATCACTAACGACGCACGCACACACTTACTCACACGCACACACACACACACACGCGCAACGCGACGCTTGGGATTTCTTTATTGCTCTTGCTTTGCTTTCTCCAGTTGATATCGTGTGTTTGATTCTTCTGGTTGCTGTTGTTGTTGTTGTTGCTGCTGCTGCGGCTCCTGCTCCTTGTCCTGCTGCCGTTGCTGTCGCTTTTCCTTGACCACTTCACACAGTCTTATCGGTTGCATATGGCACTGCAAAGAGCAACACATAAAATGTAGCATACTTTCGAGCAGCTGACAAAATAAAATCCTTAGGGGACAAAGGCGAAATGGAGAAATTTTCTTGATGCTGAAATAATGCAATTTCTCTTTACTTTGCGTTATTTTTACTAAGAAAACGAAAATGCAACAGCAGCACGAGGTGGACTCAAGAACTTAAATTTTGTTCAATGTGTTATCTATTTGATTATGATTAAAGCGATCCCCAACGATTTAGGCAATCATTTTTAAAAGTAGATCATCAGGAAAGGGAATGAGTATAAAATATCATGTTTGCCTTTGTGGTTTAAGAGATTGCTGCAATGATAAACAGGTTGATAGACAGTTCTACACATGGACAGACAGACAGTCAAATGGACACAGAGTTAGATGTACCTAGCTCGTCTCCAGCTCTTGTACTTCCTGAGATCGACGCGTGCAAGCATACGGACAAACGGGCAGGGCTATATCGATCTGATCAAGAATACATATGAATGTATATGAATGCTTCATGGAACGCACCTCCTTCTGGCTATTACATACTTTTCAGAAAACCAATATACCCTGATTTCTTATTTTCAATGGGTTCAGGGTATAAAAATGAGCAGAACAAAATACAAAATTTAAAGATAACATTATATATTTGTGAAAGATAAGAAAAAATGAATAATAAATGTTAAGGATTAAAACATCTCTTGCTTATTCCAATAGTGCGCAGAGAAAGATTTTGATAGCTGAAACTAATCTGATAAAGTTGCGATTACGTAAAATTCCTGTTTGCAATTTCATAAGACACAAATTAAGTATAATCACGATTTACCCTTAGGAGGGAAGTAAAGAAATTCGCGACTAAGAAAGAGAAATTCGTGAAAATAGCCAGCGACATGAAATCGCGGGCGGCAAATCACATAAGACGCCGCTCAACATTTTCTTTTGTTCGATTTGCTGGCCCTCCCCTACTTTGGCACTGTGAATGGGACTTATGCAATGCCCGAGTCGTGGCTCAGTTTCAGTTTCGCTATCCTTATCTCTGTCTGTCTACCTCTCTCTGTCTCGCTCGTCTATCGCCATCGCCTTTTCGTTCATTTAATCGAATTGATTTTGTGTGTGCATTTATGCAGAAATTGTGCAAATCGAGCGCAAGTTACGCAATTAATTATGAAAGCAATTGTCTTTCAGGTTACACCGGGGCGTATACTCAATCTGTTAAGTACAGTGCGAGCCTGACTGCCCATTCGAGTATGTGGCCAATGCGACAACAGCACTCAGCTGCGGCTTTGACCAGTGCATCATCTGCATCCATATACTATGCAAAGTGCTTGTATCAAAAGATATCTCTCACAGCTGCCGTCGCTTTGTTAGCTTAGAATCACATTCATTTCAATTGGGCAGCATTGATGCGAAGTTTACGTCTGAATGCCAACCAATTCCATTACGCTCTATATACCCAGGCACTGCGAATGTGCCTGACGACTTGAATGGCCAGCAACAAATATCTACACTGAATACGGTTTCTATATAGTATTACTTCTCACATTGAATGGGAATTCTTCGAAATGCTCTGCCTCCTCTGCTTGCTGTCTCCCTTACTAAGTAAACTAATTGTTACTTTATGCAATTAAGTATTTATAAACACCTTGATGGATTAAAGCTGCATATATTTGGCTGATTGTTGCTTGAAATTTAACTGTGGAGTAGATTTTTAGTAAGACCCAAACTGTGATCAACTTAATTTTAAGTTGTGAAATGTCTTTTTACATGAATTTCTCTTAAAGTCAACTTTTTTATAATAGCAATTTAAGTTTGTTCAGCTGCTTAGAGCAAGGTCTTGAAACTTATTTTAATGTTACTTTCTTTTTGCATATATAAAACTTTATACTATAATAAAATGAAATTTAAAATTGAATAGTGATAAGTAAACGCCTGTTGATTGATTATTCCTAAGCCAAGTAGTACTTTCCTTTCCATTATAGCTCAGTAATTGTGCTCTTGAGATATCAAATCTGAATAGCTTAAGAAATATGCCTATTAATAAAATAATAAATAATGAAACGAAAGACCTGTGAGACCATATTTGAGGGGCACATCTGGCAAGCCTATATCTTTTGACAGAGACGGGCCCAAAACGCCGTACAGGCTCAAGGTGGTTATTTAAGATACAGTAGAATCCGGCTATAACGACACTCAAGGAACCGTCGGTATATCCGGAAGAAGGTTTAAACGTTTAAGTTTGTTTATTTAATTTTTTTCGGGTACCAGAATTTTCGTTGCAGTAACCGTAGGAACTCAATAAACGGAGTCTTTATAACTAGATTCTATTGTATATCATATTCAAAAAGTCTACTCAAACCAAATTAAATAATTACTATCGTCAACATCAAATTTTGTTTTTCTCTTTTCTTCTTCTTAAAAAACAAAACACATAAAACTGCACTGATCTGTCAAATACGGATAATCTTGTATAAATTGGTTTAACTATGTTACTATATAGGATAGCTATTGCACAGTAATCCCCGTTGCTTAAATGACTGCTAGCATCAATGTTAAATCATTTGAATATATTATACAGTAAGTAATTATAAGTAATAAGAGCAGAATTTGTAATTGGATTCGCAGCAGCGGTCAGTCTCCCTGTGCTCGACCTTCCTGTGTTCTCTGACTGTAGCTGTGCAAATGAAGAGTAAAGGCATTACTAAATTGAAACTAATTGCGAGCAGTCGTACTTTGTGTTGCTAATTCCGTGAACAAAGCAGCTACAAGTTGCAAATTATGATATGCTGGCGCTTATGGTAAGAGAATTTTAGTGTTGTAAAGTTTAATAAACTTTTCTTGTATAAAAAAAATTGAAAATTTTTACGGAAATTTTTTGACATTTGTATGAATGGTCATCTTATGCGAAGTTCATCTTTATGAACAAGTAGCCTGTATAACAGTAGTATAGTACAGTACATAGTCTTTATATATTATAACAGAATAAACACAATCCATGTTCTTTCGATAGAAAAAGATTTTTGCAGTGATGCTCTCGCCCTTCGACAGTAAGCATGAAACTACTGCAGTTGAATATATTCGATACTTAAAGAGATCAGTCAAATCGCTCATATGATCACAGTTGTGCAATGTCAATCTGTCAATCTGTCGTTAGCATGGATTTCTGATCTTAAATCAGCATGCAGCCAGCCATACGGCAACTGGCACAAAGTGTAGTTACTTCGATTGTAGTAGACTTGAAGAAGTCAACGTCGCGTCGGCGCCAGCATTCGAGACGCTATTGCAATTTCGAGCTTAGTGCCATTCATGCAGCATCAAAATAAAACCATAAACAGGGTAATAAAGCAAAACTATTTGGTTTTATTGCACCCTGTTTTGTATATCATTTATTTGAGCTGCTGTGGCCGTAGTAGTAAAACTCTAAAATGAATACGAAAGGCAACCGCATGATGAAATACGAGTTTCTAGTTGGCCAGCCAACGGACGTAACGTAACAATTATCTCCAAGTAATCCAAGATGTATCGAATTGGTTTAATTACTGTGATATTTACGTATAATTAAGAGCTATTGTGTCAATCAAAGGTGTTGAACACAAACTATCTAATTATGGTATCTAATAAACGCACATGCAGCGCAATGCAACTCGATACAGAGACAGGGACAGAGAGAGAGAGAGAGAGAGAGGGGGGGAGAGAGGGTGAGCGAGTGAGTTGCATTTGAGAGCTGCTAACAAGTAAGTCGATGTATGTCAGTTAATTAGAGCTGTATATACATATACACACACATACATATACATATACATATACATATACATATACATATACATATACATATACATATACATA